CTTGAGTAAGTTGACTAACGTGATAGATGAGTCTGGGTAAAACGTGATGGAGCCTCAGTTTGTCGTGTTTGTTATATTCCTTAATAAGCTAAGGAAATAAAGTTGAAATCACAGAGTGTACTGTCTTGTAAATTTGAAACAACTGAAAGGACCACGACACAGGGAAAGCTGCATGCAAATCCTGCTTTGGTGCCACTCAGTCCTGGCTGCCCATCCTGGTCTCAGGATAAATCAAAGTGTAATTGATGGAGAAAAATGCCAAAGACACCTATATGTCACAGCATCTTTACTGTATCCCTGCTACCCCTTTCTGCCCAAGGCTGGGTATAATTGTGGGAATAATTGTGTTGATTTCACAGGTCCAAGTAACCCTGAAGCAGTGAGCTATGCTGTCTTTGAGGCACACTCTATAGTATATGGACAACTCTGACTTTCTGTATCTGCTGCCTCATTATCTATTACCTACTTTTCAGTCTATTACCTGTGAAAATATTGCTCCTGATCTGTACACATGGTGTCCCAGGCGTCTTTCTTCCACCTCCATCCCTGTTTAGGGACATGGTATGCCAGAAGGGTGAATGGGAATGAGTTTGGAAGGCTTTATCTTCCTGCCATTGTCTCTTCATGAGACCATGGCGCACACATGAAACCCCCAAACATTATTTAATGCTGTGCCCCCCCATGCTCAGAATAAAACAACAGCCCTTGCAGATGGTTTGGCATTCCAGGTCCCTCAGGAATATTGATTTCATGGGGGAAAAGAAGTGTTTGAAGAAATGAACTCCTCAGGAGGATTCTGAAATTCTTTGGGGACTTCAAAGACCTGACTGTGCAATAGCTGGTGCATGGCCTCTTGACATTCAACAGACAGCAAGGAGAAAAGCAAACCAAACCCAAGAAAAACAAGAACAAAAGCTTTCTCCTTTGTGCCTTTGATGACAGGATATGAAAGAAATTGTGAGTTTCCTTTTTAAAAACAGTGGACTTAATTAGGATTTCTTACATGCTGGAAACAATCTCCTTAATAGGTCATAAATAAATTATAGTTATTCCACATACACAGTCAAAACACAAACTTGAATTAGCTCAGCCTGATGTAAAATATCTGTGGATCTTGTAAATCAAACTCTGTCATCTAAAGGCAGTTTATTTTGCCCTGCATTTTCAATTGATTGAGCCTGAACTTAAATGTTCCCTTTTGGGTCAGAGGCTGGGATTGGCCTTTTAACTTGCTTTGCAAGAGCTTCCAGGCCTGAACTTTCTCAAGCATAAATGTCAATACTGTAGTCAAAGTGTTTGGCTTATTCCAGTTAAGACATATATGTATTTCCATATATGGGAAAACATAAATGAAAAAAAAAACAAACAATCCCCAAGTTCTGTCTATTATTAGAATATATACCAACATGCAAAATAAACTAAAACATATGGGGGAGATTCCTCTACATGTTATCTCTGGAATACACACTGTACTGCAATTTCTTGGAACAAGCACACAATGCATAAATATTTCTGATGATAGCTTATGAAAAAGACATGCATGGTATATGATTATTACAAACTAATTTTTCTGTCTCTGAAAGGTTCATGATAATTTTGTCTTCCTTAGTGTTTCTGAAGAAAAATACAGGATGTAAAAAGATATCTGAAATATGTGCAGAAAGGTCAAAAATAAAATGGAAAATTATACACTGAAAATAGATGAGAATTTTTAGTAAAGAAACTATTATTTGCATTTCAAATATTTTATTATCCCTTTAGTTTGAGCTAAAATTCAGGTTGCTTTTGCCACAGAAGGTCTTTCAGAGCCTGCACAAATCTTGTCTAGCTGAACAAAGGAAGAGATGAGTAACAGAAGTGAGCATGTGTTCAAATTTCCAAGTCTCTTGCAGTCATCACTTTATCCCAAAACACCTTAGTGAAGCAACTATATTATTAAATTATTTCTCCTTAAACTGTGAGTTTGAGATGTACCCGTACTGTACATCAAACTGCTAAAATAACCACTTTGAATGATTTCCCTTTCCCTAAGAAAGAGACACAGGTGCCTTGTGTTCCAGGATGTGACTCTTCCACATTCCAAGTTTCTTGTTTACTGAAATGAAGTTAATACATTTTAAAAGACTGTAAGATGCATTTCCTGGTAAATTATAGGTCTTGATTATTTAAAACTTCATGGGCCTTGATGTTAATTTTTTATAATATCTTTGCCTTAATTAGAATTCTTTTCCCCTGTGATCCAAACGTGGTCCTTTTCTTCTATGTAAGTGAGTGAAAATGAATATTTTTATTTCAGAATATAATCATTTAAATTCAACAGTTCCAATACAGTCTCCTCACAGGTGTAGTGAAAGTGCCAAATATTAAATATATTTCATAGCTAAAGTATTTTGCTTTCAAAAAGTGAAAGCTTCATGACTATATCATCACACTGTATGGATTATTAATAGAATTTTACAATTTTTGGCTGGCTGGAGTGCAGGTCTACCCTCTGCTCAGGATACTAGATAAAGTTAAGTCCCACTTGACAGACAGAATGCTTTTTCCAATATACTTTATATAATTAATTTCCATATAAATTGCTGTGCATATTAAAAATCAAATTCTAAACTTGCCTATTATTTTTTTGGTACAATTTGAAGACACAGAAAACATTAAATTTTATGACTGTAGATGCAGGGAGAAAGCTTGATGTCTTTGAGTCTGCAAAGAAAATAAAAAAGGATTTCTGATTATTTAAAGGTGTTTAATAAATATTTGTCTAACACCATCCCAGAAATAGTCAAGCTTCTCACTACAGTTTTTATTAGGTGTTTTTCACCTTACAGCATTTCTCCTTTCTGATTGTTAACTGTTCCTGTAAAAGCCCAAGCCCAAATTCCAAGTGTTCAAATGGGGAATAACAGGGTATTTTTGTCACTTGTAGCTTAGTTTGGATTCCTTAGAAAAGCATCAAAGTCCAAACAGTCCAGGAGTGGGGAAGCTGGGGGAGTAAAGAGAGAAAACAGCCAGTACTGGTTTGTGCTGCCAGCTGTTCATACATCATAATGGAATCCAAAGGTCCCTAAATGTCCCTAAATACTGGCTCAGGGCTGGTTGATCCATGGCACTGGGGTCATTTTTGCCCATAAAGGAGCCTGGATTTGTGTTCCTGAGCAGATGAATGGCACCGCAGCAGAGCCAACATTTGTGCTGGGCTTCCAAGTACACCGGGTACATCTTTCACAGCATGAAGGATCAGCTTTCCCAGGCCATCGTGGTGTCACATTCACATTCTCTGAAAAATCCCTTGGCCCAGGATTTTTATTCTGGGAAACTGAGAATCCTCAGAGAAAAAGGAAAACAATAATTATCTCATTTGCTTCTCCTGTATCTTGCTGCTTTGTAATAAGTTTGGAGATTGTTTACCCACAGGTGATTGTTTCATTGAATTCTGCTGTGAGTTGTTTTTATTCATTGGCCATTCACGGTCAAGCTGTGTTGAGAATCTGGAAAGAGTCAGGAGTTTTCATTATTATCTTTTCAGCATTCTTTGCTTTTTCTATAATACTGCCTCCCTCCTGTTCCTGTGTGGCTCTCAGCAGAAGACTGACACGTGGCAAAGCTCTGCATACACTCAATATTAAAATATATAAGGCTATAAATAAATATAAAAATAGATCTCTGCCTTTCCTATACAATTATTAATGAAATCACTAAGAAGGTGATGCCATAGGTCTGTGTGCTTCTGAATACAGCAGGTATACTCTCACACCAGTGAAGCCCATATTCTTCTGAGCCAAAAAACAGATGCCTGAGCCTGCTTTGAAGCCCATGGCCCTTTAGAACTCAGACACTTTCAAAAGGAAATCTCTCCAACACTATATCTGCATCCACATCAATGCATGCGTCCACAGAAAGGTTGTGCGCGGCAGCCAGGCTCTTCTCAGGAGTGCCCAGCAACAGGGCAAGAGTGCAGAAACTGATGAACAGCAAATACCACCCAAATATGAAGAATAACTTTTCTGTTCAGTGACTGCACACTAGAACAGATTGCCCAGAGAGCTGTGGAGTCTCACTGGGAGTATTCCAGAAATGTCTGGACACAATCCTGTGCCACGTGCTCTGGGATGGTGCTTAAGCAGAGAGCTGGGACCAGGTGAGCCACAGCGGTCCCTTCCAACCTGCCCCATCATGCGGTTCTTTGAGCAAACCAAAGAGCTCCTAGATCTCAAATGAGGAGCCCTAGAGTGTCTAAAACACTGTGGGTGTCACCTCACTTAAGCCATAACTCCCAGTGTGTTGTGGTGGCTGCATCCTGCTTACTCTGGACTTTGCGGCGTGGATGGCAGCAGAGATGTCAAGGGCTCTTGCTCTTGATACTCTTGATACATTCCCGTAGAATGGTGACCAGGCATCTTGCTGCTATGCAAATAGGAGAAAAAAGTCAATTATCTTACCCTGTAAATAGTGGAGAGCCCTGGGCTTGCCGAGCTCCACTGCACAGCAGCAGGCTGCATGCCAGGATGTGCCCTCCAGCAGGAATGCCTCCCAAGGTTAGTCCTTGAGGCTGAGAGATGCTCTGCCACAACAGATTCCCTGCAAGTGATTAATAGCATGCTAAGCTTTGAAATCTTACCTAAGTGATACAAAGTATTGATTGTGCATATATAATCCTTCAGACAGAAACCACTGACCGTGTCTGGGAATAAGAGGGATGCACCCAGACTCCCCTCCAGGACAGAGTTTGGAAAACAAGGCTGCACTTTCTGAGCCTCGTGGCTCAAGAGGACGGTCCCCACACTGTTTTGGCTGACCCTGTACTCCATGCAGGAAATAGCAAAGCATGTCTTGCCTCTAAATCTTCTCACTATCAGATTTACCTCTGAACTTGGTTAACTCCCTCCTTTCCACCAATAAAGTGTGTTGTGATTCTTTGTTGTGGGTGAAGTGCATGACTCCGTCCGCGACACTGTCACGTTGTTTCATAGGAGTTCAGAAACTGAAATAACCAGGCTGTGTCTTCTTCAATTATTTATTTCTCATCTACAATCACTTCATCTCCAAGGATATGAATGTGATATTACTCAGCTGTTTATTCCTCATAAACCATTTTACTATACTTAGGTATGTCAAATCAACATAGAAATCTGTAATAGGCTTATTAAAACAGGTCATTACAGTCATCTTATTGCTCAAGATTGATAACAGGACTGAAAGATAATAAAACATGATGTTTCAAAAGCAAGCAATAAAAAAGTCACAAAAGAACAGAATAAAAATTTTATTATGCAGTGTCAGGAACGTAAATAGTTTCAAAAGCGATATTGTTAGGCCTTTTGGGACCTATCTCTCGGGGCAGTCTCTTCTCAAAAAAGACAAAATAGAAATAACTTCACAGTGCAGACTGATAGTTTATAATAAAAGTGCAGACAATATTCTGCTCAATAATCTATATTGAATTACACCAGCTTAAATACTGGACAGCAATTCAGAAAACATACTGCAGAACCAAAATTTGTTCTACCACAGGAATATATAAAATTTGTTTCTTTGGCAAGTAACATCCTGACACAGCTAAAATTACTAGTACATCCATCTATACTCTGAAATCTTTTTGGTTTTTTTGTTTGGGTTGGTTGTCAACACTTTGGAAACACTCTTTATCCATAAGAGCAACATACCTCTTTTTTATTGCACAGCTACGTTCCAAGCTTTTTTTACGGAAAAGTCTTCCCAGCACAAATATTTATGCACAAGATGATGACATTCTGTTTCAAGAATATCTTCACAGTGGGGTTTGGAAATGCACTTCCTGGGAATGTTTTGAAGAGCTGAATGCAGTCGCTTATCTGCTGCAGGTCTGTGAACCTTCTGGTACCTGCATGCATGTTTCAGCTGAAGTGAATCTGAAATGGAATGAAAATTCCTGTGGAAAGGATCTTTTGCCACCTTATTTTAAAAAAATTGTGTCTGAATTCAACTTTCATTGTATTTTAGTCATATATGGAAGTCCCTTTACAAATCTGGCCCTTATGTAACAGTCAAGGCTGCCACTTTGTTTCTAATATTTTCAATTTTTTTTCAGGTTCAGTTATATGCAACAAATGAGGAAGTGAATTAGTTTTTGGGTTCAACACTTAATTTCACCATGATCAGTAATAAAGAGCAATTGAACTATTGTCTTTGTTTTGGCTGCTGAGATGAATAACTCAGATAAGAAAATTTTTGCATTGAAAATTTACTTTTAGAGAAAAAGACAGTTTAATTTAGGCAACATATAACTTCTTGTTGCAAAATAAAAGCGATTCTGACCTTTGAAACTATTCCAAGGTTTCTGAAGAAAAGATAGAATTCTTCTGCAAAATAATATTATTGCAATTAATTTTTTAATGTTTATTTGGCTACCTTTCTTTTCTAACTGCACATAAGAATCACTGAAGCCAAAATGGTTGCCCAGCTTTCCCACCATAACAATTCCTACAAATGCTAAGCAATTTGAAAGCTGTCATTTCACAACCTCCATAAGCAAGACACTAAATTTTTTCCTGCTTTGTCTTTAAACTTCATCATTTCATAAATTGAAACAGGGACCAAACCATTCACCTCCTCAAAACTGTATATGGTGGGGTACTAAATACACCCAAAAAAAGTGAGCAGAGCTCCAGTCTGATGCTGACTGAGTTACTTTAAAACTAATTTTGTCTTGCTGCTCTTTGGTTTATGATATCTGGTTGAAAGATGACATATTGTTGGAAGTAGTGATGCATAAGCTCCACATATGCATCAGGAAGTAATAATGATTGTGGAAAGTGGAGATTGAGTGATGAGCCTTTGGCTTAAGATAGCAAGTTTTTGATTAATTAAAAAGCATAAAAATATATTCTCTTACACACTGGGGATTTAGGGTGCTTTTTATCACTCAGAGGAGCCAACACTTTGCAGGATTAGGCAAATACCAATTCTGCAGCTGTTATTCATCAATTTTTGCAGATACTAGATAAAGCTAAAGCAGAGCCTCACCATCTTAATTTTTTTTTCCTAACTCCTAGGCCTTCCATTTTTCATCTTGACAGTGTTTCTTTAGAGAAATGATACAGTATAAACACACCTTCTGAAGGAATTAAGAGAGACAAATACTGAGAAGTACCACAGAATCCCTACATTCTTGCCTGAACAGAGCATATCCCACAAATAAAAGGAGAGGGCAGCTTGAAATTCCAAATATCCCTTCTCTGAGAAGCAAAGGAGCAGCAGCAATGGAGGGGAGCAAGTCACTGTCAATTAAAAGAAAAGGGAAATGGACCCACATCAAAATTTTTGGAGCAGATATTAGAATAATAGGATATTAATTTTCTTATGTTGTCTGACTATGATTCAGGCACGCCTGATATTTTACCAGAATGTAGCACCCTTTATCTGATAATTTCAGTGTGCTTTACACATTAAAAGTGCAATTAATAGAATATGTACCAAGCCATTAGATGACCTGTTGTGACCTTTCAATTTACACTGTGACAAAGACACACACTTGGAATTCAGTAGTAGACCATTTTCTGGCATTCACACAGCCAGTTTAATGGAGCTTGGCAATATTTAAATCAAAAGGGGAGAGATGAAAGCTAATTAAGGCCAATATACTAATGCTCAAATAATTTGTTTTAATAGAAATTAAAAAGAAAGGGGCAAAAAGAATCCGGTATTACAGGGAGTGAACATATTTTTTCTCTACTAATTTAAATGCCACTATGGGATAATTTCAGTCTTGGCTTGTGCTCATATTGCATGACTTTTATTAACATGAATAAGAGTACTGAATCTATCCAGAGTAGACTGGAAAAACGTGCCACATTATTTTTAACCACAATTGAACACAACATAGGCTCTCTCTTTGTATTTAAGTAGCTCAACCACACAGTAAAAAGCCCTCCCAAATCTTTGCACGGCTCCTTGGTGTGCTAAATACTGTATTTGAGGTTAAAATGCCCTCAAATAAGGAGCAAATGGTCATTTTCAGAGAAAGGGGCTCTTATGCACACTGCAGTCCACAGGCACAGGCAGGGCAGGAACCTCACTCTGTACTTCTCCTTTTCATCAAAATGAGGGAAAACTTCAAAAAAGTCAGTTTGTGCCCATGGCTCATCTTACTAAGAAATTAGCAGTTTTGGTTTGTTAGAGAATGGTACTCTTTTTCAAAATTCTTATACCTGCTTAATAGTTGGTTTAATGAAAATGTTTTGAAGTTTAAAATACATACTGAGGTATGCTGAGAACATCTGTGCTGTAGCCCAGGTTCTGATGATGATAAAAAAGAAATATTTCTAATTCTGCTAATTTTGTTTGCAGTCAGTTCTTAATTGATTTGATATATGAATTATTACAATGATAGTAGTAGTAGTGTAGTAGTGTGTCAATTATCATAGTTTCCTCCAGACAAGCCCCTGTTTTGCCAAATACAGATGAAAATAATGAGTAACTGAAAAACTAGAATTTTTACTTTAAGAATTTACCATCCAATGTCCAGCCTCAGAGATGCAATGACATTTTCCTCTCTTTATGTAGTCTCTACACAAATCAGACGACCTCTATGGATATACACTTTGTTAAAAAGTCGTTTTCTTTCTTCCAACAAATACTTATTACAAATGTATATGGTTCATTGTAAAGAAACTTGTTAAAAATTCACTGTGTGATTCCACAAGTTTTTAATGGTAATCTTCTGCCAACATTATGATTTGAAAACAGATTTAGCACCATGTACAATTTATTAGGGACAGGAAAGCCTTAGAACACCAGCACTGAGCCATGCAGTGAAATGAAAAAATGCTTCCTTTTCACCCATTCTGCCTCTCTTGAGTTCACTCGGGGCTCAGTTATGCAGGGCAGTGACAAAGCTGGCCCTTGACTGCTGTGGACAAAATCCAGCCTCCCAGAGTTTCCTGTTTGTGTCTGTGACCTTGTTGGTTTTCCTGCCGCGTGCCCGCGAGCGCTTCCAGCTCCTTCAGGATCATCCAACCACCGTGAGTCAGCCATGAATCAAGATGGAAAACATGAGGGGAACGTTCTCCTGAAAGATGAGAAAACATGTGATTTCTGCAGTGCAAGTCAAACAACTCATCCCAAAAAGGAGCATCATTTTTCCAACCCTGGAATGGCAGCCTGCCATTTTTTTGTGGCAATTCTGGTGCTCACTGAACTTTGATTAACTCAGGGCAGCAGGAAGTACTTTTGGTTTATGGCTAAGGTCAGGCCGAACATTTCTTGTCATCAGCTTAAATAAAAAGATCTCTTTCCAGACAGATCATCTCTCTTTCCAGAGCACGCTGCAAAATCTGATCCAGTGTGAAATTCACTGAATTGTATGATGATATTTATGTGGATTTGTTTAACAGTGTGTTTTGGAAGGTGAAATTCATGTCCTGAAAATTTAGGAAAAAGGTGGGTTTGGGAGAAATCAAGGAACAAGCACTAACTATTTTCTTCTAGGATTTATATTTGCCATCTATGTCTTGAAAAGTTGCATACAGGGTTATCTAAATGTGCTGTTTGAAATATAGCTTGTTCTTTATTAATCTGACTTCATTTCCTATGGAATGCTTCAACTGAAGTTATTCAAATAATTATTCTAGTGGTAAACTGCCACCAGATTAATTATTTGAACAACTTCTGTTGAAGCATCCCATAGAAGTCGAATTAAAAATTTATAATTTAAAAAATTATTAAAAAATAAAATTTTAAATTTTAAAATTTTAAAAAGTATAAATTTTAATATAAAATTATAAATTTTACATTAAAATTTATAAAGGTTAGAAACTCTATAGTCTTACAATAATGCATACCCACCCCTGAGGCAGAAAGAAATTTGTCCTATCTTGACGAAATATGCTATTTTTATTGCATATAAACCCCTTAAATGCTTTAAAAATGTGTCTATCTTTTCAATTCCCAAAGCAAAACCTGACATTAGATTAAGAATACTGGTATTGAAAATTTGACAGGTGAAGAAGTTTTGACCATTTTCGTTTTCTTTTTGGATAATATAGAGTGGACTCCTAAAAGAATCTAATAAGAAATAAACAAAAAAAATTATTGAAACACTGAAAAGCCATAAGAAAAAGTACCAGCAGAAAGAATTCTATTTGCTTGCTCTACAACATATCAGACTGCAGCTATATTTATATTTATATATTGTATATTTATATATTGTAATTTATATATTGTATATTTAAAGAAGCTTTCAGAGAGGGTGGTGCTTATTTATAATGCAGAAGAGAATCTGCTATCTGAAAGAAAAATACCATTAATTTGAGATACAACAATATCTGTGCTAGATGCTACAGAGACTTCTCCCTAATAAGACGTGGTAAGATAATAGCGTAGATTCCAGGGGAGTTATGCCTGGGGCATTTTGGAAATCTCTGATATTGAAAACAGAAGGAGAAGGAAGTTAGAAAAACATCTTCCAGTAGTCTGTATCTTCAGGTAATAATAGAATTATCAGAAGTAGATAGGGTTGGAAGGCATCTTGAGGATCTTCCAGTTATGGGCAAGGACACTTTCCACTAGGCTGAGAGCCCCATCCAAGCCTGGCCTTGAGCAATTCCAAGAAAGAGGCATCCAAAATGTCCCTTGGGCAACCTGTTCTAATATCTCACTGTCCTCAAAGTAAAGATTTTCTTCCTAACATCTGACCCGAACCAAATCTGTTTCAGTTTGAAGCCATTGCCCCTTGTCCTGATACTTCAGGCTCCCTTCAGGTACTGGAAAGCCACAATTAGGTCATCTCAAAGCCTTCTCTCTTTCAGGCTGAAAAAAATCAATGTTCTCAGTTTTTCCTCATAGGACAAGTGCTCCATCCCTCTGGATTGGTTAACCCCATGGCAGCCCCTGCAGCTCTGTCTCGCACTAGGATTTTTATGAAGCAGAAAGAGCCATGGCTGGCCAAAATGAGTCATTATCTAAAAACACTTCTAGGTCTTTAGAAATGCTTTAACCATTCTTTTTTTTTTTTTTTTTTTTTAGAGCATTTGAAAAGGTTTTGAGTGTTTTTGAAATACAACATCAGGTTTATTTTTGTCATTTTAATAAACATTTTAATAATTGTTCATAACCTTTTGAAGTGGAAAGATCAGTAGTTACTCTGGATGGTTTTTTCACCTGGTGCTTCTCTGCTGTTTCAGGTTTTACATTCTCCTTGTACTTTGATGCAAAGTATACTTTTATTTAATACTTTGCTGTGCAGTTAATTGTATTTTAAGATCTTGAAGGCCTTTCAGACATTTGAATAAACTTTTAAAAGTCAAAATCTTTTAAAAAATCTCTAAAAACAGTAAAAAAATCTCTTCACTTATGAGGCACGCTCATGTTTTCTCTAGTTTAACACAGGGTTAAGGACATCTTTTTGCTGTTCTTAAACTGTGTCATTGTTGCTTGAAATATGCTCAGCAGAAGTCTCCCACTTGGCTCTTAAAACACTGTTTTTAAAAAAATGCTTTCCATGTACATTCCTGTTCTTTGATGGGAAAAATCTTTTTATGGCATTTGAAAGAGACTCCTGAGGTAAGTACAATGTGTAATATGAATTATCAAGCAGTTTTTTGTGGTTCTGTAAATTTTTAATATTTTTGCATTTGGCTGTTGCTTGGGCAAGGTAACAAAGCCATTTCACCTCTCCTGCTTCCCATGAGGTGTCTGAAGAGCATCCCCAGAGCACTGCAAAGATGTGAAACCCCTTTGAGCCAGCACTTCAGCCCTCCTTGTCCTGCTGCACCCTAAAACCTCAGGTAGAATGTGCAGGTCATCACAGAATGGAGTAAGAATCAATTTTGTCTTTGTTATCCTTTTTTTTTTTTTTTTTTTTTTTTAATTTTTCAGGTGGCAACCTTATTTTTCTGCCAATTTACAAAGCTGGATTGAGGAACCAGCTGTGATCTCTCAGCTGGAAACCCACGCTGGGAGCTTTTGGCACCTGTTCCTGGCCGAGCACTGGCACAGGGAGCACTCTTGAACTTGTGAGAGGATGGCCCGATTACAGCAAACAGCTCTGAAAAAACTCCACATTGCATCAAGGGGTGTCTGCTCCAACAAGTCCTTAAGGTCAGCTGAGGGCAAAAGATAACTTTTTCTCCCTGCAGGTTTAAATTTTATTCTTTTCATCCAGAAAAAAAAAAAAAAACCAACAAAAAACCCCTCATTGTTTAGCTATTCATATTTATTTATTATGATTCCTAATGTTCTTCCTTCATTTTTGAATGCGCACGTAGATGGCACCTGTTTGTGTCTCCAGCAGTTCCAAATTTGACTTTAACCCACCTGCTGCCATGTGAACGTTGTCACCAATGGCATCCCATGGAATTCACTGTTTCACCTTTCTAAAACATTGGTCATAATGGTGGAATTCACCAAGAGGAGATAATGGATTTAATTTAATAATTTAGCAAGAGAAGATACATGGATTTCCTAGTTTTATAGCTGGATGAAAATGAAATTAGTGTTTAATCATAATTTTCACAAGTTTCCATCTCCCGTCTCAGAAAGATTCTGCTGTTTTGTCTTTTGCAATTCCACACCTTCTCCTACTGATGCTACACACAAAGCATTTTGCCAATAATTTCACTTTCTCTCTCAATTCCTAAATGCAACTAGCTTTAATTCAACTGAAGTTTTGTATTGTTTGATTTTCTCAGTTCATTAGTTTACTGCAGTTATCCTATTCAGATCAGAAGCACTAATACCGTGAGGTTGAAAGCTGCCAATGATATTTCTGTTTGATGTATAAACTTTCAAAGCCTCCTTGAGGAAACTGTGCAGCCTTTTAGTTCTGAAAATTAAATCTCTAAGGGCCATGACAAATTTGATATACCTAGCCTTCATGTCTTCAAATTATATATATATATATATATATATATATATATATATATATATATATATATATATATATATATATGAGTTGCACAGAATGATCTCGTTTGTTTTGACCATCTTCAGAAGTCTGCACACAACTATGCATTTCTATTTAGATGAAAAGCCACCACCTTATGAAATAATTGGTATCTCCTCTCCCCTCCTTTCCCCCCAAATTCTTTATTATATAAGGGCTTGTATTCTTATATTGAGTCTTTACAAATTTTTCATTTCTAGGTCTGTAAAATTTGTGTCTTTTTGTCTCAGTGGAAGCAAGTTCAGATTTGTTTAGTCATATTCATGACTTACACTTCTTTAGCCCATCTGTTAAGTGGTTTGTAAAAGACTACACCTACCAAACACTGCTGTGGCAATCTGTGTTTTTCTGGTTTACTCTCTCTGATTCTGTGGTTTATTAAAAGCCTTTCACTGCCCAGGGATAGTAACATCAGTGGCTGAGATTAATTCTTCTTGGTCTTTAGCCAATCAACCGGCTAATTTTGTCATTTGGCTAATTTAGTGATGTGCCAGCAAAATCCATAATTACAGCTGAAAATATTTGTACTTCTATTGCTTGCTAAGCTAAGGTGACTCCATGAATACCATGTGCTACTTCTGCCCTTCAGCCCAGAAGAACATGTTTAATAAAAAAAAATGTGGAAGTGGAGCCTATCATCTATTCATTTAAAACATTTACTGCTTTTGTTTTGCTCTTAGCAGGACACCAGGCCATATCCTACTCTGAGTTACTCAGGAAAGGATTTTTCTCCCCCTGGTTAGAAAATGCAGCTTGCAAGGAGACTGTTTTAGACAGAATTTGAAATCCAGATGAGTTAAAACCCTGTTAAATGTGGGAAGAGCATGCCTTTACATATGGTGACCTTACCAAGATGTCATACTTTGCTATTTTGTTGTTCTTCACAGGAAAAATAGGATTTAAGGGGTGTTTTACTAAGCTTTTACCTATTTTTAAATGAGTAGAAGTTTCCAATAAAATCTTCCATCAAAAAAAAATTACATCAAAAAAAAATTTCTATAGAAAACCTTTTTTGGAAGACAGGATTTAAAAGGCCACAGCCCAACTATGAACCTCAATAGGGTGTCTGTTGCACATCAGTTTCACCACCCTTGTATTTTCTGAAAAATCCCTTCACCAGGATTTGT